CATGTGTTGTTCTATGATTACTTTGTCCAATGATCTTATTGTACCCAAGCCTTGGGTGACTACTGGCCCTTGTGCAACCCTACCCACAGTCTTTATGGCACCAGGTTGGGAAACTGAACATCTTATAGAAGACAATGCAACTGGAAGGGATTTGGGAGAGAAGTTTGTTGGATATCATAAAATGTCCAAAAACATTTTAAGTCTATGGACTGGGCCACATAATGGGGAAAAAACATTTAAAAAAATATTGTGGTTTTAGTCAGCTAACAATTCCTTTTTTTTTTTTTTAAAAAAAGATGACCAGTAAGGGGATCTTAACCCTTGACTTGGTGTTGTCAGCACCACGCTCAGCCAGTGAGCGAACCAGCCATCCCTATATAGGATCCGAACCCGGGGCCTTGGTGTTATCAGCACCGCACTCTCCCGAGTGAGCCACGGGCCGGCCCTAACAATTCCTAACCAGGCATCAATTCAGGAATACCCAAAGGTCAGAAAAGGGAGTGGACCATCGAACATTTCTCTCCTACTATGTTTTCATGTAAAGCATTCACATGCCGTAAAAGGGAATCTGCATTTCACCTTACTTGGCACCCATCTAGGTATGGCTCTGTGCATTTACTAGTGGAAAGACTGTTGAGGCTCGATGAAGAACAAATCTACGATATCCTATCCTGGGTCAAGTACTTGCATGATTAGGTACTTCTGGAGTCAGCTGGCATCCTAACACATTCCCTTTATCCCTCTGGGGCAAGCAAGTGCTTCTACAGGGCCCTATCAGGCCAGAACATGGCCTAATGTTAAGGGTAGGAAATTTTTTCTTTTTTTTTTAAAGAGCCACCATGTGCGTATTCACAAATGACAAATTCACAATTTGTCCCTAGAGGTTTTCATGAATGCTTCCTTTCATGAGTACTCCAGAAGGAAGTCAACTCCTTGACAGAAGCTGTCTCCCAGCATATGACAGAACACAATAACTTGTTAACATCCAAAATCTCTTGACCTTTCCTATTAGATTTAAAAACTGAATGACCAGGGTTGGGGATATAGAGTTTAGCTGTGGAATATTTTCTTTACGTGTTTACAAGGTAAGTGGGTAAGCATCCATATGCTAGCATCTCACCATCTTGTTTGACCAACTGAACTATCTCTCTAGGTTTGAATTCCATCTGATTTTAAAAACTAAATGGGAAATTCTGTCACACTGTTTACTGATACCCTTTTTCTACACTGTGGATTCTCTGATGGAGCAGAAGTTATGTGCTATAACAGAAGCTTTTCCACACTTTCTTCAGGAATGTTTTTCAGAAATGTGTGCAAAATAATAGAAGATTCTTTTTTTTTTTTTGTCTTTTGTCTTTTTCCGTGTCTGGCAACGGATCGCAACCCTCAGTGTTGCCCCCGTACCGGACCGGGGACCGGCAACGGGATTGCAACCCTCGGTGTTGCTCCCGCGCCTCGCTCAGCCAGTGAGCGGGAACCGGTCTGTATGTGGGATCTGAACCCTCGGCGGGAGCGCCGCCGCACTTCCCAAGCAGCGCACTTATCCAGTGCGCCACCGGGCCGGCCCATAATAGAAGATTCTGATGAATGACTTCTTGACCTTCAAAAATCGAAAGGCACAGGGCTGGCCTGTGGCTCACTCGGGAGTGCGCTGCTGGTAACACCAATGCCATGGGTTTGGACCCCTATATAGGGATGACCGATCTGCTCACTCGGGAGAGCATGGTGCTGACAACACCAAGCCAAGGGTTAAGATCCCCTTATGGGTCATCTTTAAAAAGAACAAAACAAAACAACAAAAAAAGAAAGGCACTCTAATCCATGTGACATTTCTGATGTCAAACAAGAAATTAACTGGAACTAAAGGCTTTCCTAGTCACAAATGACTAGGCTTTCTTGTTTAAAGTCTCTGGTGGATAATGTTTACAACAACTGAATTTTTTTCACATATCTCATGAATAGGTCCTTTTCTCTATCTGGAGTCACTGAGTAAAGTAAAATCTGCCTTTTAACTGAATGTTTTTCCACATTCAGTTCTTTCACATCCAAGCTATTCCCAATGAGGCAAAGAATGTGGAAGGAGGCTCTGCTGGACACCCAGTATGGAAGCTGAGGCAAAAAGAAAGCTGGACACAAGGGATGGGCCTGAGTGGAAGGTTTTCAACCAGCTTAGCAAAATCTGAAGCTGCTTCTTTACGGCTTTAGTGTACAGGTAGTTATGTAAATTTACAACTAACCTTCTAGCTTCAGACCTAAAGGGATAATTTTAACAGCATCTAATTGGATTTTAAAGGGATTCAAGGAAAATCAATTTTATCTATTTTGGGACAAATATCAGGACTTGAAAACCCTCATCATTCACTAATAAAGAAAAAACAAATGTAATGTGGGGCCAATGGAAAGCCTCTGCAACTTGGGGCAGGAAAAGAACATATAAAAGAAATGTATCCAAGGAAAAAATGGAATTCAAAATGAGAAAAAAAATAAACTGCCCTTGGCATACAGATTGGAAATTGAGATAAACAAATCATTATTTATTGTATACCTAGAAAAGCTAAGAAATGAAACTAAAAAGCTATTAAAATTAAAAATAATTTAGCAAGGTAACTGGATCCAAACAAAAAACATTTTTTTAAATCAGTAATTTTGTTTATACTAGCAACGACCAGTTGAAACTGAGGTATGGATTTTAAATGCAGCCATTTTTCCTCCATCCAAGAGTAAGGCTTATCCAGAAAGTCAGGGCATGACATTCATTCCTACTGACCTATACCAAACTGGTGGTTAGTGGGCTAATATCATTCTGAATAGTGCTGGTTACCACTCTCCAGAGGCTTAGTGTAGTTGGGGATGAGCAAACAAAAAACAAAATGTAAAACTGCAGCATCCAAAAAGCAGAGTGGGGGCCGGCCCGGTGGCGCACTGGATAGTGCGCCGCTTGGGAGGCGTGGCGGCGCTCCCGTCCGAGGGTTCGGATCCCATATACAGACCGGTTCCCGCTCACTGGCTGAGCGAGGTGCGGGAGCAACGCCGAGGCTTGCGATCCCGTTGCCGGTCCCCGGTCCGGTACGGGGGCAACACTGAGGGTTGCGATCCATTGCCGGACACGGAAAAAAGACAAAAAGACAAAAAAAAAAAAAAAAAAAAAAAAAAAG